AGAAGTAGCAGGTGGCGATCAGTGGCTCAGTCGGAGGAGACAACCTCATTGTGGCGAGTGATGCTGTTGTGGAGGAACTTGGTGAGTCGTCTGCTGTGTAGTGATGGTTTGAAGAGTTTTGATGGCCTTAGGCTTGGCGTAAGAGTATCGGCTGTAGACGACTTGCGGGTATTCTAATCAACTGCAGACGAACAAGACTTGCGCATATCATGTATGTTAACCTCACTATTTCTTTTCATGAACATACAACTTCGATGATCCTGTCAATCGTCGTGGCTTATGTAGTGAATTAAGCGGCGCTCAGCTATCAAGGTTACTCAGAATACTATCTCCAACTGGCATTCGACTGGCTTGTCAACTCAGCAGTTGGAAAATCGAACATTCACCCGGATGGTGTTCGCAGAATTCACTGCATGGTGAATTCACTACTTTGATTCCACTATGTAGCCGCAAGGCCACTTCAAGTTTGGCTTTAGGTCAGAATTGACTCACCTGATGGTGTTATAGAACCCTCATGAATTGGTCAATGATAATACGGTTAGTGATACTTCCTTGCAGACACCAATGGTTGGTCACGATTGGGTCGATCGGTAGGCAGCGAGAAAAGAGTCGTTATCTTGAGTGGATGGTACGCCATCGGTTGAAACACTCTGCCCGAGTCATGTTGCTACGATGGTCCGCTTGTGAGGACCTCACTGCTGTATTAAATTATGGTTGGTGTAGATTCACTGAGGATACGCATGCTGACAGAATGCTTGGTTGGTGTACTTGAAAAAAATATTTTGCGACCGAAATTGATCTCGGCATTTCGTGTACTTGCTAAGACGCCGAATCTGGTCGACTGGGAAGTAGCACAGTTGGCAGTTGATAAGGTCATCACAGTGGCTGATGAGTGGATTCTGAGGTGGGTCTTTGAAAGTAGCAACTTGCTTTGTTAACGATGGTTACTTATATTGTGAGATAGACTTCTTATAGGGATAGTGATTATTATCAAACTGGATGTTTCATTTTCTCCTTATGATGGGCTATGATGATTAGTACTAGTTTAGGAGTGGGTGAATCGTTTTATGCGGATGACGTGTTATGAGCCTATCGAGGACAGGAGCTATCAGCATATGAAAAATGGAAAATTGAATGGAAAACTTTGCAGTTCACTGTCGTTTTGTATTCTTCCTGCATCGTCGAGAAGACTAAGCTTAGATGCACATTCGGAACGTGGCGTAAGATATGCATCGATCGCCATCATGAGCTCGTACGATGGTGCGATCGCAAGAAAAGGAAGCTGCTGATGATTACCTTGACCTACTGGAAACGACGATTAAGACCGACAGTGAGATCCCCTTAGGAGTGTTGGAAATTCCATCGAGTTTATCGTGATAGATACCTCCCAGTCGACTACTCGTTGGCAGACTCCTGTATTCGGAGTATCAGACAATATGTCGGGAAGTAGGTTACCGTTATGGCATTCTGTGATGTGAAGAAGTATGAAAATTACCGCAAAGATCGTAGTGACTTGGAGGAGCCTCGGCTATTGACAAAGACAACAATATTGACAGTTGGAAAACTTCAGAACGAATGGAAAGCGAACACATAAGTTGATGACAGATCAGATGAGGCAGAGTTTAGGGTGAACAACAACGGCATTAGATCGATGCCGTTGTGAAGACAATCGCTGCTCACAAATGCAAAAAAAAACATGCCGTGTCGGAACATCACGGACAGCAGTTGGTCACTAGCAATTACACGGGATGAGGGTACCAGAACAGATGCTGGGCACTTCCCAATACTTGCAGTAGCTACCGGCCTCGATAGAATTACAGAAAGGATCGCACTGAAGTGAAGATGTAGTCACAACTGGAGTGTGGTCAGCACTGGTCTGAGAAGATCCGGTTGTCTGATGAGAAGCCTTGGTGGTAGTGGGAACTACTTCATCACAACTACATGGTAGATTAGTCTCCGAACAGACGCTCGGATGTTGCCACGATTTACAGTAGGTTCCACTCCAGACAGAATTACAATAAGCATTACCAGCGGCACATGAATCCGAACTTGCAGCAGTAGTAACCACAGCCTCGGCAGTAGTAGTCCGAACTGCTTCGGTGGTGGTCTCGACAGCAGCAGTGGTGGTCTCGACAGCAGCAGTGGTGGTCTCGACAGCAGCAGTGGTGGTCTCGACAGCAGCAGTGGTGGTCTCAACAGCAGCAGTAGTGGTCTCAACAGCAGTAGTAGTGGTCTCAACAGCAGCAGTGGTGGTCTCAACAGCAGCAGTAGTGGTCTCAACAGCAGCAGTGGTGGTCTCAACAGGAGCAGTAGTGGTCTCAACAGCAGCAGTAGTGGTCTCGACAGCAGCAGTAGTGGTCTCGACAGCAGCAGTAGTGGTCTCAACAGCAGCAGTAGTGGTCTCAACAGCAGCAGTACTGGTCTCAACAGCAGCAGTAGTGGTCTCAGCCGTAGTGACCGGTAAACCCGTAGTCGCAGATGGGCATTGACACCAACCAAGGAAACGGAAGTCAACTTGAGTGTTGTAATCCTGCATCACAATTTGACCATCATTAGGGACGAAATTGACCAAGTTGCCCTTGTTCGCTGTACATATCTGATTATCATCCAAGCCACAACCACATCCACCAGCATACAATTCACCCTCAGAAGTTGGTTCATCCAAAGGCTTCCTGTAAACAGCGTCCTCACCATGTCTATAATAGAGATAATTATCAGGCGTAACAGTAAAGCCTTCAGTACCAGGGATGGCAAGATTGACGTACATTTTCGAGGCCTGATAAGAGTATGGCAACCAAGCAGTGACACCAGTGTCAACACGAATGTACATATAAGGTGCCAAATAACGGATGCTCGTAGGTTTGTTGAGACCCTCAGGACTATCATAAGGGATACCCCTAATAAGTAAATTATTAGGGAGACTCACTTGAGAACCGGCAACCCAACCAAGTGTCTTCCAACCGGTACCATAAGGAATACGTTCGAAACCGAAGACGCCATTCCAAGTGTTGGCAGTCACATACAACCTGTCGGGGTTTCCAGCTGCATATGCAAGGCCAGTGTACCCCAAGTACATATTATCATTAGCAATAACTCTAATGCTGTTGTAGACCAAAGTACTGATGACAATCACCCTCTCCTCACTGATGGCGTAGACTTCAGAACCATCAGGGTTCGCTTCTATGTCGGTAATCGGATGTTCAGCCAAAACTTCATAGGACGACAGGTCACATGATGTCCTCCACAGCCTCGACTTCCCATCGGATTGAGTACCAGCGATATACCAACGACCAGCATTATCAAAACTGTATGCCACCACATTCACATCCCCCATAGGGAGCATGTTCGAATAGTCACTTCTGTCTACCGAACAGAAGTCAGCAGAACATTGCTCGGACAAGCCTCT